ACCCCAGCTCCCCGTGGGCTCGCTGGTGGTTGGGCATTGCACGGTCTGCACAGCAGCACCTCTCCAGCCCCTCTGGTGTAGTGAAGCCAACAGAGAAGTCAGACACTAGGCTTTGGCTCAGGCTTTACGCCCCGAGATTATAAAATGGGATTTTAAAACTGCAGAGCAATGAAAAGCTTCTACTGGAAGAGAACCCCTTAATAAACACAAAAATCCTATTAAAAATATATATATACATAGCAGTACTGCCACATTGAGGCATTGGTGACAGCTCTCCTGATTTATCATGACTTTTGCACTTGGCAGTGTTTTTTATTTCTAGTGACCGACCATTGGAATCCTGCTATTGTAGGAGCCGTTTTCCCTGTCCTTTTAATATAAGCCAGAGTCTAGCTGCCATTTTTGCAGAGGGAAGCTATAGAAGGTGAAATAAGTACAGTGTAAGGTTTTTAAAACCAGAAGGCTGGTCAAAAAATCCACAGCACTTTTTAATTTCCTTATTTTTTAGTATTTGGCTGAAAACACAAGTCTCGCAATGATGAATCATGTGAATAGTTGGTTCATTCAGAGTACGAGAACAAACCAGAGAGTAGCACATCACTCAGGGCATTCTGCTATGCAAAAATTTGTGTACTGAGTGAAGGTAAGTGCTTAGGAAATGATCCAAAATGCCACACCAACGGAACAAACCGAGTGCCTTCATTTCTCTCCAACCACTATGATAAATCCATCATTTATCTATAGTTTCACTTGAAAATATAGGTGTCCTGAAGTGGGTGTCTGATTGTCGTTAAGTTGGAATAGGCTCCACAGAAAACAGGGTATTTTTGTGGAGGAAGGGAGTAGGTCACTGGTTGGCAACACATTGCACAGGACTCACCCAGCTATCAGTGTGGGTAGGTGAGATGCATTTCTTCTGTGGAGCTGTGCATCCCCCTTAACTATAACCTTTTTATGAGAAACGTGAACCCATTTAAATTAGATACAGAAGGGCAAAAAAGTTCTGGTGGTCCTGCCCTTTCTCAGAGCATTTTGCACATTTTCCACTGTTCTGCTGGAGCGGGAGATCTGTCTCCTGGTGCTTTGTCTCTTGCTATGCAGGATGCGCGAGACTGCAGGGTCCCTAGGGTGGACAATATAGGCAGAAAAAATGTTGTTTTCCCAGTGTTGTGCAGACCCACACTGTCGGGCTGACTCTTTGATCAGGACTGTAAAAACAGAAGATTTTTTCTTTCCTGCTTTCTGTGACTTCCTTGGCTGCTTGCAAAGACCCATGAGCTGGAATCTCATCATCTGCCCAACAACCTCCCAAAGGTATTTTAGGAGTGCCACATGGAGCACCAGCTCACAGTACTTACAGCATTGCATATAGTGCTCCAGCGGCAGCAATTCAGTCCTTATTTGGGTTTCAGCCAATGTTTGTTGTCCTCCTTGGAAATGGTATTGATTATTTTTGCTGAGGAGCCAATTATGGCTGCTATGATACTCGCCACCTCTCTTCCCGGGATGATGTGTGCCATGGAGGCTGCTCTACTTCAGCTAGGGCTGCCAAATGGGCCAGTGAGGCTCCAGACAGAGCCCTGACCTTTTAAATAACCCACGATATGAATAAGCAGTTACTCACTCCCTAAACCTTATTGGACGTGTTGGTTGGGTTTGGTTTGTGCAGGGATTGGCATTTGTTTAATACCTGGGAGGTTTAATACTGGGAGGTGCAGTGTCCCACATGGCATCTGTCTGCTTGGTGGCACTGCAAGATTGCATGCAGTGGGAAGAATTTTGGATGAGAGAAAACTGCTGTACCAATGGAGAGCAGTCCCACAGGCTTTTGGAGCCCACCAGCAATTGGTACCCAGCGTTGCATTGCCAGGGGCAATCATTACCCTGGGCTATCAAATTGTTCACATCTTGCCAAGCCTGGTGGGGTTCCATGCCAACGACCATGGAATGATGGCTGGAGTCTAGGCCCCTGCTCTGCCAGTGGTAGTTGTGATGTTAGGCAGAAAACAATGGTTGTGGAGCCTGCAAGCAGCTGACCTGCTTCTGGTGCCTGCTGTTGGCAGCAGCTCTGCAAAGCCTTACACAGCAAAACCACAAAAATCTTAAGGCTTCACCCCAGTGAAAGTTCAAAACAAACCCCCTGATTATAATAAAGCCTTTGAGAGGTCCTTCTCAGCTAGAGGTGAGATGTCCCCCATGATCAGAAGTGGGAGTGAGTGCACTCTGATAAACCAGTTGCCAGAGAATCTTGATAACCCAGCAGAGAGATTTCTGCCTGATGGGAGGACAGAGGACGTGGCAGTGCTGAAGCTGTGGCGTGTCCAGAGTTCTGCTCTCCCGTGGGCTGAGTGGTGGAGATGGTGGGTTGGTACTGAAACATGGGCGATTCCTCATTTTCCTCTATATTTATTACCTTGTTCTACCTCATTGAGTCTGTGTAAAAAGGTTCTTTGCCTAGATGGTGGTTGGGTGTTGGAACAGGCTCCCCAAGGCAGTGGTCACAGCACCAAGCCTGACAGAGTTCGTGCGTCCAGATGATACTCTCAGGCACATAGTATGACTCTTGGGGATGGTCGTGTGCAGGACCAGGAGTTGCACTTGCTGATCCTTGTGGGTCCCTTCCAACTCAGCGTGTTCTGTGATTCTCTGTTAATGTTACAACTGGTGTTTTTGGCTCTCCTTGGGTTTACAGCATTTAACAGGATCCTGGGCAAAGCACTGTCCCACATGATTTATTTGATACTATTTTTTTTAGATGAATTTGTTGATCCTCCAGCCTGAGTTTGTTTCCTTAAAATTTGGGCTGTATTTTTCCATCTGGCTGCCTAGTGGAGACAGTGTCCAAAATTGGTATTTCAATCACTTCGTATATATTTTTTGCAAAGTTAATTGAATTGTGAGAAACAGGTTACTTAAGCAAGTGCAGTGGCCCCTGTCACACTTCATAGGACCTGTTAAACACATAAACCCAAACGTGATCAACACTTCCCAATAATTACAACTGCAATGGGCAAATCAGCCATCCTGCCCCCTGAGGAAGGGGTTGATGAAGTCTTTTTGGGGAAGCTCCTCCAGCGCAGCTGCTGCTGGACTGAAACATGATAGTGCCTCTGTCCACCATGAAATACTACATCTTCCATCATATCCCTGACCCAAAATAGTATTTAAACTGGCGTATGATGAACTGCAATCCAGGCCCATGTCACCTGAACAAAGCAGGAATATCATCTGCTCTGTTTATAGAGAGGAAAATAAGTTGTGTGATCTCTTCTCGCTGCCATTTAGGTGTCATTAGTGAACTTGGGCACACCTGGGACATGCTCACTGGGGTTGGGACTGGTTGGTGAGCACAGGACCCTGAGGCAAGCAGAGTTCAGTGGCAGTTGTTTTGAGCCCTAGTTTCTCCGTGCCAGATGATGCAGTAAGTTTGGCTTTGGGGGTGCTTCTCTGATGCAGAGGGCTGTCTGATCAGAAAATGGTTATTTTGCTGCAATAATTTGCTGCAAGCAACTTGCACTAGTCTCTCCAAGGTAACATCCTATTGATTAATGCACAAACTTACCCCCTCTCACTGTGTCTAGTTTTCATTCCATGTAAGCTCTGATTACTCAGTAAAAAACATTGGCTTATGAAGCTAAACATCAAAATGCAGAAGCAGAACCCTCAGTATCTCCACTGTTTGGCAGTGTGTTTGCTCAGGGTTATTTTCATGCCACACACAGTTGAGGTTATTGAAGAGAGTAAAATGAACAGTGTTTGTTATTCAGTTCATTTTGGGTTTTCAGTGCTGTCATTGTCTCAGGGAAGTGGTGCCTGAGGATTCGGAGCAGGTGAGGTTAAGAATTTATTACACAGTGTTTGAGGCTGTACAGAAACAGCTCCCAAAGGTCTCACTGAAGGAAAAGGAAAGGATACTGTATGGAGGAGCCAGGAGTGGGTGGACATGGAGACAAGTCTGCAGTGCCAGGGCACTGACTGCAGGAGCAGTGATGCTGGGGTTTATGCTTTTCAGACTTCTGGGCTGTATCTCTCCTCTGAGCTAAGTGTGTAGGTTTCCACTGGGACCTCTGCTGTGTCCTTACTGGCTGGATCTGCATCTGAGGTCAGGTTCCTTACACCAAGTAGATTTAACTGAGATTATGCATTTGTTAGTCTGGATCTGGATCTGAACTGTTTATTTCTATAATTTGCCAAACTAAAATCCAGAGTCCAGAGGATCTTAGTGTATGCCTTCATTCCAGAGTCTGACTCTGGTTTTCTAGGCTGTTAATGCATTAAGGGTTCTTTAAAACAGTTAATAATTTGTATTAAGTGGTTTAGCTGCAGATTTTTAACTACTTAACCACAACAGACTAGAAGCAAATGGAATGGGGTTATTCTTAAAAAGGTTTCCATTATCCTATGCTTACCTTGTAATCCCTCCATCTCTACAGAATCCGTCCATCTCTACAGAACTGTATGGCTCTTCTGCTTTAGAGATGGAGGCAGCAGCCCACAGATGCATAGGGTGCCTGCTCTGCATCTGCAAAGTCTTGGATACCGCCAAGGCTGTTCTGTCAACCTTCATCTCAAGTCCAGGAGAACAAAATTTGGGTTTAGATTAGAGTGGGAAAATGGAAACAAGAAAAGCCTGAGTAAAGTGTTCAGAGAAATTGTGTGATAGAAATTATTCAAGTTAAGTTAAAGACCTTGGGCTGCTTCCACATGGGAAGGTCACCAGGGCCAGACGCAGCCATCCAGGTGAATTACTGAGTCTCTCTGTGTTGTCCTCAACAATCTGTATGAGTCTTGCCATGGAATTTGATGCAATCACTATGTGTAAAACCAGCACAATACCATCCTGTGGAGTAGCATGGGGAAGCCCATGAGGTTGGCTGGATAAGGGGGCTCATCTCATTCCTTGCACTTAGGTCTGTGCTAACCACGTACTGATAGATGATGGACCTGGTTCTCCCTGCCTCTAAAACAAACCTCTGTCCTCCCGTTCTGTCTCTTTGCAGAGCTTCCTTCCTCGGAACACTTGAGCGTGGCTGATGCGACATGGCTTGCCCTCAACGTGGTATCTGGTGGAGGTGGCTTCTCCAGCTCCCAGCCCATTGGAGTGACCAAAATTGCCAAGTCAGTAATAGCACCTCTAGCTGACCAAAACATCTCAGTGTTTATGCTCTCCACCTATCAGACGGACTTCATCCTGGTAAGAGAATGTGAGAGGAAAAGGCAGAGTTACTGCCACTAGATGAGGGTTCAGTTAGGCATTTCTGGGAACAAGTTGTTTGGGAAGCAGCAGAAGTACCAAAGTCTGCTTTCCCCAGAGCTCTGTCCCTTGTAGTTAGGCTTTCTGACATCTCAGGAGCTTTTCCCATGGAATGAAGCATTTGTTGTCATGAGCTGTCTGGTGTCTAAGGAGAGTACTGAACCCACACTACAGTCTCTCCCTCAGTGGAGGTTCTGGCAGCATTTCCCACCATCACTCAGACATTGGTTTTCTGAAAGTTAGAGGAACACAGTGTCTGCTGTCAGGTTGGCTGGTGATGGCCAAGAGGCTCCAAAGTTGTTTTGGACAGACTGTTTTTCTGTCTCACACACACGTGTGTGTGTGTGTGTGTGCGTGCCCGCACACAGGGCCCAACCGTATTTCCTTAGGAAACAAGGCTGAAGAACAGGCAAGTACTGAGTTCTTGAAGGGATGCTGGAAAAGACATGAGACATCCTCCTCTTAGAAATCTCCACACTCTTTTCACAATCTTAAAAGCACTCTGAGGCTCGCACTGGTATCACCAAGTGTGCTTCTCTAAGACACACACAGATGGTAATTATTGTTACACACCACAGATGGTAATTATCATTACACACCCGCTGGCTCAAGCAGGAGTCACATGTCCACTTCTCAGTGCCCTGAGAGCATGTGCCCTCCACTGCAGTATCTTGTCACTTCTGGAGCACACCATCACCAGATAATCCTGTTGTCACCTCCAGGTGCGTGAGCGAGACCTGCCCTTCGTGATGCACACGCTGGCTGCCGAGTTCACCATCCTCAGAGTAGTGAATGGGGAGACAGTGGCTGCTGATGACTTTGGGATAACAAATGGATTTGTCAAACCAAAACTAGGTAAGGACCAGCACAGGCTCAGCTTGCCAGGGAGTTGGTCTCCATGACACATGGGGTGGAAGTCCTGCCTCCTAGCTTCCTCCAACATTTGGGGGAATGTTTATCCTGTTGTAAGGTAGTAATCTTACAAGGCTATCCCAGTACAACCAAGGATTTGAGTAGGTTCTTAACTTTCTGAGCAGTGCTGATGAGTTTTGCTGAATTTTAGCCTTTTAATGCTTGTTTCACATCTTTAGAGGAGACATGCCTTTTGTAGGACAGAAGGTTAAAGTACAGTTCATTGCAGTTGCAAAAATAACATTGTCTGCAGCCCATATTTCCATGCTTCAACATTCCAAAGAAAAATGGCTTCTATAAAAGCTTGTTTAAGTATTGCAGTGATGCACAGAGAAGATTGTTGTTCAACTTTCACACTTCAGTGCCAATGAGGATCAAGGCCACAATGAGCTCAGGACTGTACAAAAGCTTAGTATGTTTGCAGTCTAGAGGAACAAGCATCAAGCCAAAGGGCACAATTAGGAAAGGAACAACTTAAATGTATATGTTTAGCTGGAGACCTCTGTGTAACTTTTTGCCCATAACCAAAATAAAAGCAGAGATCAGTTTTTATGAAGTGCCGCTCAATTCTGTCACTCAGGAGCTATAAATCATCTGATTTAAGAAAATGAGCCTTAAACAAAAAATGCATTAAGGAAGGGCACAGTGAAACGTGTTGATTAGGCACAGGTATGTAGTTTACTGTGTTGCTCTATTTACTAGTTGGTTACCTAAATACTGGCTGCTTCTCAACCACTGGCTGCAAATGTCTTTGCCAAACTGCTGTGTGGCAACCGGTTTTTAATTTTTCTAGATATTATCATCCCCAGAAATGAGGAAAAAGAGGATGGACTGCCAACAACCACAGCTGGAGAAATGCCTTCCATAGCCCTGCCTTTTAAATGGTGGAAGCCTGAATTTTTTTGCACTTTTCAGTTTGTCTTGGCACCTCCTTTAGGTTGTCCCTCAACTCATGTGGCTACACCTGATGGTGTGAAAGCCCCTAGGAGTAGAGAGCTGGGCTGGGTACTCAGGGTGATACCACCCTATACCCCAGGGAGAGCACCACAAGAGCAGGTTGTGCACAAGTCCCTCAGTCCCTGTCTGAGAGCCAACATGTCTTCAGCTATGAAGAACTGCCTTACAAATACCTTGAGCTTTCTCTGCGGCTGCTGCCAGTGCATGGATAATACGGCTGCTGGGACAGGAACTTTCTGCAGATGTGGCTTCACAGTTGTATGTGTCCATGTGTCTCTTTCAGTTCAGAGGTCTGTCATTCATCCCCTTTCCAGTCCGAGTAATATGTTCTGCGTCACCAGCCTGGATCCAGATACCCTTCCTGCTGTTGCTACACTCCTAATGGATGTCATGTTTTACTCCAATGGGTAGGTCATGCAGGGAAGTGTGCTTCCAGGAGAGGTGTGCCTGGCATCTGAAAGCACAGAATCCCATTGCTCCTCTGGGATGCTCAGGGATCTGCTGTGGCCTTGTGCTACTCCAGTGCTCTGCACTGGGGGAGGAAGGTTTCACAGACTCAGGAGGGTTGTCCTGATAGGTGGAAGCCCAACGGGCTTGAGGGTGCCCAAAGACATCTGCTGGTTTTGGAAAGCTTGAGCCTTTCAGAGTGAAGTTAAGAGCAGCCATGTGATCAGTGTGCTGCATATCTGTACAGCTGGCTGGGCTGCTGCCCTTTGGTGCCTGTGGCTCCTGGCCCACAGCCTCCTGCGAGGGGACCTTGGGGCAGGGATGGGAGAGGTTTGTCAGATGTGGAGATTGCCTTTTTCCCCCATGCAAAATAAAAAAATTAAAAGCAGTATAGAGTGACAGGACTCTGTGTCACTTCCCTAAGTCAGTGTATGAACATTTCTGGTTTCACAGCCTTCCTGTGTTCTTCTAGCCATAGTTAATGTTCTTCTCTTCTGTTTCTTCAGAGTAAAAGACTCGATGGTGGGCAACGAAGACTCGGGACATATTCGCTTTTTCTCCTTTTCTCTCATCGAGGGTTATATCTCCTTGGTCATGGATGTGCAGACACAGCAGAGGTGAGCATTAGTCTTAGGGTAACCTGGACCTCAAAAAAAGCACCTGGGATGTTTTCAAAGGAGCAGGAAGCAGCTTAGACTCCTTCACGTTAATTATTGGGACCTTCATTGCATCAGTGTCATGGGTCTGTACATCCTGTCACTTTCCAGAGTGAAATCTGGCATGTGAGTTCCAGTGTCTGAATTTTGGGCTTGTCTGTCCAAGCCCTCAGTGAAATCACAAGTCAGTGTGATGTAGGGTTATCTCACTTTCAGAAGAGGAACGAACACTGGAGTGAAGTGATTTTGGCATCTTTATTCTATTGTTCATTAGCTGTGCTTTTAAAAGCAAAACCCAAAAAGAAAATCTGGTGTAGCTGTTTGAAGTTTTACTGCTGAAGGCCAAAATCAGGATGGGGATGTCAGTGATGTTGTCTTCCTGCTTTTCTTTTACATATGACTGGTCTTGGTTCGAAATTTTGTTATGATGATTATGTCATGAGTTATCCCTTTGCAGTGGGAGCCCATGACTCATTTGTCTGATAAGGAGGAAGTCAGCTGGGGAGCAAATATCAACCTCTGTGTGTGTTTGTGCTTCTGCAGCTGCACAACACAGAAGGCTCTGAGGTCTGGAGGCTGGAGAGGATGCTGTACTGAGACTCAATGCTTAGATCTGCTTTTATAACACAGAGTAGTGTTTGGGTTTGATTCTTGGGGGCAAGTCCCCTGCCCCAGGGACTTGTTTTTCAAACTGTTAATTGCCCTCTTGAAAGTTTCTTTGACCTTACTAGAGTAAACCTTTGTCTTCCTTCAAGACTGGCCAGAGGGCTGGAGCTTCAGCCTGGGGCGTGGAAAACCTGGGAGGCCGATTCTTCTCCATCACAGGCCGCCTGACTGATGTTGGGCAAGTCTCTTACCCACTGGTCTCCTTTCTCCTGCTAAGAAATAAGGATCTCTGCAGAGATACTAGGGACCTCCTGGGGATAGTATGGAAAAAAGCACTGATGGTGCTCAAACACAGGAACAGTGGTCAACATTTACATTCCTGAGAGCAGGTATAGAAATACATTCCATCCCTAGGTGTGTCCAAATGCAGCTCAAATGAAACCTTCACGGTCTCAATGTTTGTAAAGCTGGGGCACAGCCTGTTTCTTAGAAATCTTTTCCTGTGCCTCTCTCACAGCAGATGCTGATTTACCATAGGACACTTGGAGGGGCTGGCAGGTGCATTTGCCCCACTTGCCCTGAGTTTTCCCAGTTTGCCCAAGCTGCTGCCCTGCTATTGTTGACTTCAAATGTTGCAGGAATGCAGGAAGAGCAGATCCCCGCAGGCAGAATCTGACACACTGCTGTGTTTTAATTGCCATGTTTGGTGTTCCTTTGCTTTTACAGATTTCCTAATAATTTGTTGTTTACAAGTGCTTCTGGCGAACTATGGAAGATGGTGCGGATTGGTGGGCAGCCTCTTGGCTTCGGTAGGTGACATTTGGGGGATCAGTTGGTGCGCAGGCAGTCAGTCGCCTCAGGGCCTTCAAGGAGTATGGAAAAATCCATCTGAGGCTGAGGGTTTTCGAGAGTCAGCAGCTTAACATGACTTTGTGAGCTGAGATTTTCAAACAGGAGGAGTCTGACTCCAACCTATTAAGTCAGACTTCTAAATATACTCCTGAAAGTGCTACATGCTTGACAGTTCCAGCTAAATTGCATTCGTCTGCTGGACTTTGGAGGTGGCTACTACTGGGGCTCTGATTAAAGAGAAAACCTGGACAAAAGGTGGCATGGAAACGCATTGTAGATTACTGGAATCAGTGGTCCAAAGGCACTGTCATACTCCAGTGCAGAAATCATAGAATCCTAGAATCAGCAGGGTTGGAAAAGACCTCTGAGATCATCAGGTCTAACCCTTGATCCAACACTGCTGTGGCACTGATGCCACATCCAGTCTCATCTTAAAAACCTCCAGGGACAGAGAATTCACCACTTCCCTGGGCAGCCCATTCCAATGCCTGATTGCCCTCTCTGTAAAGAATTTCTTCCTAATATCTAACCTAAACCTCCCCTGTCAGAGCCTAAGACCATGCCCTCTTGTCTTACTGATAGCTGTCTGGGAGAAGAGACGGACCCCCACCTGGCTACAACCTCCTGTCAAGTAGTTGTAGAGAGTGATGAGGTCTCCCCTGAGCCTCCTTTTTTCCAGGCTAAACAACCCCAGCTCCCTCAGCCTCTCCTCATAGGACCTGTGTTCAAGTCCCTTCACCAGCCTTGTTGTCCTTCTCTGGACCTGCTCCAACATCTCGACATCCTTCCTGAACTGAGGGACCCAGATCAGGTTATTCTCTGACTTCGGTAGATTTAGTATAGATTTATAGCTGTCCAAGTGGGAGTCCTGTTCTCAGATGTTTCACATTCAGTGCTGCATGTTTTCTCTATTCAAAAAAATATTGGTAACACAGAGCAAGTGCTTCATGCCTGGAGGCATGTTCTTATTGCTGTGTCCCCTGCAATTTTAAGGGTCTGATCTGAATACTGCAACAAAGGCCTGATCTTCAGGAAACATGGGGGCTCCTTCCCATGGTCTACAAAGTACAAGCTTCAAGAACATTTCTGAAAAATGTTTGGCCAATTTTTATATTTAATTGCAACTTCTACACCAGACAAACAAAAGTAGCAGGAAGGAAATTTTCGTGTACTTTCTCTTTAAGCATCTTAGAGGCAAAATATGTAGATATGTCACTGATGGCACATCAGGACACTGACCAGGCCCCTACAAATGTGATGTTTAAATATGTTAACTTAAAATCAAGTTGAAATGTTGAATTGGGATCGGTGAAACTCAAGATTTCATCTGAAAACAGTGTACCGTTTTATCTGCAACGAACAAGACAGATGAACGATTTAAATTCCATTTAAAGCCCAGAAAGCCAACCGAATAGCCCGAACAGCCAACCAGATCTTGGGCTGCATCCAAAGGAGCAGGGCCAGCAGGTCGAAAGGTGGTGATTCTCCTGCTCTACTCTGCTCTTGTAAGACCCCACCTGGATGATCCTTAAAGTCCATTCCAACACATTAATGTTCTGTGATGAGATTGGCATGAAATCCTGTCTCAGGGGCTGTGGTGGGCTGCAGCCTAGGAACCATCTCTCCAGGGTGATGGGTGGGTCAGCATCTCCTCTTTCAAAGGTGCAGGGCAAAGTGTTTGATAGCAGAGAAAAATGGAGGTAAAGGGCATATGAGGCTGGTTGTGGTGCTTCCTTCTGAACATCATTCAGTGCCTTTCTTTGGACCTCTGAAAATCGTTTCAGTTCTAATGTTTTGTGCCTTTAGAGATCTGCTCTGTAGCAAAAAGAAGGTAATAAAATTAAATGTGCAAAAAAAAGCCTGATTCTGTGAGAAAGAACACATTTAATTGCAGAGATTCCTTCTGGTTGGAGTTTGTAAAGACAAACTACTCCCTGTGTAGCCGTGGAGTTGGTGAGTCCTGGGAGTTCTGCAAGCCCCTCCAAACAATGATTGATTTTTTTGTCTCCCCACAGATGAATGTGGAATTGTTGCTCAGATTTCTGAGCCTTTGGCCGCAGCCGACATCCCAGCCTACTACATCAGTACTTTTAAGTTTGATCACGCATTGGTGAGTATGAAGACAGCTTTTTTGCAATAGGGCAGATCTTTTCCCTGGGAGAAAACTCATGATGAAAATGTCATTTCCATCTGGATAGCTTGTTGGAGTGCCTTTGCTTCGATATAGCCCAGCAGACACCTCTCTCCAGCCTCCTCCTGGCTGTCACTGCCCTGTGTCAGAGGCTCCTGAACCAAGCCCAGCCCTACCCAAAGGCAAAGCTGTGCTAGTGAGTGTTGTTCTGGAAAAAGGCTGCTTCCAGTCCTTAAAGACCTGCAGCAATGGAGACATCACAGGCTCCCCGAGCAGTCTTGTTAGCTGCATCCCTGTCTTTTATTAGAAAGGGCCACAAACCCTCTCCCATTTTGCTGCAGATATAGTTGCAGGCTCCAGACTCTCGGGATGGTGCTGTGATGACCCACCCTTAAGGGGAAGGTGCTTCTTTAGGTGCTTCCTTCCACTTAAGGGTGGGCCATCCCAGGTGCCTTTGTGTGTGGGGAGCATTTTGGAGAGCCTCCCAATAGCAGACCCCTGCCTTCATCTCTTGGTGCCTGCATGGCCCTAACCTTTGTGTTTCAAAACCCATCTATTAGCTCTGCTGCCCCTGCATCTTCCTCCTCATGGTGCAGACCTTTGATAAATGAGCAATAATTGCCAGCACAGCAAGGGAAGGCAATTTTAAAGCAAATAAGTTTGTTGCCATGTTCATTCTCCTGAGTGCCCATAAGCAGTTACAGCACAATCATCAACATGAGGGTCTTGCCATCCTTACAGAGTTCTCTTTTATACTGATGGATATTTTACTTTTTAGGCCTACCTTTGCTCTTCCTTTGGCTTTATAGGACACCCTCAAAAATGAGGAATTTCCCTGGAAAGGGAAAATTGCTGTACCTGTAGCCAGAAGCAGAATGGCATTTGTCTTGGAGCCCATTTCCCTGGTCCTGAGGAAGGGAGTCAGTAACCCATGTGCTAACAAGGCTGCAAAACTCAGCTGCGTTATTCTATTCAATTGTGGTGGTTTTTTTTTAAATGTGCCCTCTATTGCATTATACTTCTCCTTTCATCACTGCAAATTCATTGCTCAGGCCCTACCTTTGACCTGTGAAAGCTCCAGTGAGTTCAAAGCAGGTTTTGGGGGGCTCGGGAGAGCTTTAATTTCACAATTGGTATGAACCATTAGCAGATGATAGGTCATGTGTGTAAAGAGTAAAAGTAAATATTATTTCAGATAGCAAAGGTCAAAGTGTTGTGTGTGTTTGTCTTATTTTCTTGAATTTTAACTGTGCTGATAAGATAAGCTAATAAAACACCATTTAAAAATCAATACTGTTAGCTTTGCCTCACATTCTTGCCATTGTGTGGCCCCAAGTGCCCACTTTCTGTGCAGAGCATAAGGTGGAGAGTGCTTCTAGGTGTCAAGCCATATTTGGAGAGCTCAGCCCTGTCAGTTAAAAGAGGTATTTAACCAAAAACTTGTGCCATACAATTGTGATGACTCTGCAGGCAGCTCCACCCTGTTGGAGTGCTTCATCCTGATGCCTCCAGCCCCACAGGAGGGGCCTGACCTTGCCTTCCATCAGCTGGCAGGGCATTGAGGCCATGCACTGAGGTCTGCAGATCTTCCTTACTCAAAGCAGTATTTTAGTGTTTTTCCTTGCTACTTGACATTTTCTTTATATATGGTTTTAAAAGCCTTTTCACCTGGACAGTGCTTTTCTAGCTGTCTAACCCCTCCATCCTTTGGAAGGTGCATTTCAAGCCCTCCTTTGCCTGACTTTGCTCTGGGCACACTGGCCAGGTTTAATGCTTTTTGGTTCTAAGGTGGTCGTGTTGGCCAAGACCCTGACCTAGATTTTGTCATATTTTCCCTAACTTTGCTACCCAGATACCATGACTTCTAGTGACATTTCTCAAGCTCTAAGTGCATCTTGAACCCTTTCTCTAAATCCTCTCTGTCTTTATTTAAGGTACTGACCTGTTGTCAACAATTTGGAGCACTTTATAAAAGTTTGTTGTTCCTTTTGATCTGTTTTTTTTTTTCTACTGGTGCATCTTAAGGTGGTTTTTGTCGCTGGGGTGTTAATACTGAGGTCTTCCTGCAATGCTGTCACTGTAGATGTTTGCCCTGGAAATCAGGACTTGTGCTTGAGAGGAAATAGAGACAGTGTTAGAGATGGGAACCTCCAGGTCTCTGGCCTGTCCCCTGCGTGATTAAAGGGCTGGTGAGAGCCATGGTTTCCAGCTCCCTCTAGAGAGAGCAAGGGATAAGAGTCCTCTTTCCAGGTGCTCTGCTCTTGGCTGCCTCATGCTCACAGATGTCTTGCTCTCCTTCACCAGCATTTTCTTTCTGAAGAGGCTGAAACTGTGTCTGGGATGTAGTTTGGAGCTTTACTTCTCCCTTCTTGTTTGGTGCTTTGGTCTGTGCACTGCCTGAGAAGTGAACACAGTGCACCAGCTGCCCTGGGACAGGGATCATTTCTAAGGGGCGGGGAGGGGTAGAACTCCTCCTCTGTTGGTAAAAATAGGATGGGTCCTGCAAAGCAAAACCATTTGTGTGTCTGTCCTGGAGAAAATCCGGCCCAAACATTTGTGGGGTGATTGATACCATTTCCATGCCGTTAAGGGAGTCAGGCATTTTTCAGGGAGTAAAGGACCAGCCCAGTGTGTTTCAGGGAGGAGGTGGGTCTGTGCAGGTCAAAGTCAGTTGGCCGGAACTGGCCAGTGCTACTTTCTCCTGCTTCTGTCCAGTGCTAACAGAGCATGTGGCGAGACCTGTACTGCTGAGCATCGCTGGGGCTGACGAGGAGAGTGTGGTTTGAAAAACTGACTCCTATGCCTTTTCTCATTATCTTCTGGAGAGGCAAGGAGTCAAACAGCTTCTTCCACTGCAGTGTTCAGTGTACTGGGAAAAATGACGGAAGGGGAGGTAATGGAAAGTCCTGTTCCCAGTGGTGGAGGTATGCTGAGGTTTTCTTCCTAACCCAGAAGAGTTCTCTGTGTGCTTGTTTTAAGATTATTTTCTTCCTTTCCAAGCTGACTTTTGTTCACACATCATCAGAGATTCTATCTTCCCATTGGAAAATTTAACATTTTTCTTGTTATTTCTCATGGGTTTTTTCCTCAGTTTTGTTAGAAGCCTTGCAGAAAGTCACAGTCCAGTTGTATTCTGACTGTCTGAGCTCTGGAAATTGTCAGTGAATCCAGGTATTGTGCTCTGGGCCTCCTCCTCTCGCAGAGGAGACAGTCCTTCTTTAACTTACTTAACGTGAATTATTTTGGCTTCTTGCAGCAACTCGCAGACAGTTCGTTTTTTCCCTCAGTCCTCTTTCCACTTTCCAAGACCTGCCTGTTCCCTGAGCAGTCTTGGAGTTTATGTAATGGTCAGATGCCCCTTTTCTGTCTGATGTAACTTCACTTGCGATGTTCTTTTCTACTGATGACGGTTGCTCTGAGAGCTTTTGTATTTTCTGTTACAAGAGATTTTTCTTGCAGTAAGTGTGAAAAGATACCCACTAATAATTTTGTATATGAACTTCTATGGTTAGGTCTCCTCACAAGACTGGATAAGAAAGTGTAGATGCTACACCACACCATCTGGGAACCCCACCACAAGCAGACTGGTGGTTCTCTTCTTTGTTTGATGGGTGCGTTCTCCTGTCACCCAGCATGGTCTTCCCAGCTTATGGGTCCCAAACCTGTAGGATACCCCTGAACGCCCCATGGAGCCCCTAGGCAGCCCCATAAATCAGTCAGCACAGGCACCTTGCATGAGCAAGCTCCTGGTGTACAAGGCCTTCACCAACAAAAGGAAGGGAAAGGAGGGGAGAGGAAGAGGGGAGAGAAAGAGAAACCCCCAAATAGTTGCCCCGCTACGAGCACCCACCATATGACAGCAAACCAGCCAGCTTTCACTTAGCAAGGGGATAACTTAACTCCAGGGATACCGTGGGTTAACAGGTGTGTCCTTGCATGTGGAGTCCTTTCTCAGTGGAGTTCAAGTGTCCAACAGCAAAGTACCTGCCTCCTTGGGACTTTGTCTCCTGCCTCTCTTTTCCTTGTCATCCATTTTGCTGGAGGTCATGACCTTTCTTTTTGTTTTCTTGCAGGTACCTGAAGAAAATATAAATGGTGTGGTCAATGCACTCCAAGTCAGTCAAGCTGAAAAGCATTAGAAATGTTCTGAGCTGGTTCCAGATGCTTTTTATTATTATAATAATTATTATTATTATTATAATTATTATTATTATTCTTTTTTTCTGACAGTATTTCTTGAAAAATCTGATTACAGAGAGTGACATGAAAAGAGACTGTGGAAAGCTGAGCAGAAACAGCTCCAATAAGCCTTTGTTTTAATTATTATTATTGTTATTTTATTAAATTTATGAATGAGGGGAAGGAGGAAAGGGAGTTCAGGTGGTTTCCTGATGTTCAGCTCCAAGGTGAAGTGTACCCTGCCTATGTTCTCAGTGTGGAAGGAGCTGCCCGGGGTCCCTGTCTCTCCCCGTGGGTGCACTGGCTGAAAGCAGCAGGATAGGCCGAGAGCAGATGGACGGGCTGCTGGCTCAGAGAGCCCTGAAAACCAGAAACAAAATGAAATGTGGAATTAAACAGAAAAGATGTCACATAGTGCTGGCTTGTCTCCTCACATCAGACTTTCTGAGGACTGTCCATCACTACCTGTGTTGAGGTAGGATGGGAATTGGGTTCTGTTTCCCCTAACAGAACTCTTTGGTGTTGGAAAAGGGGAAAATATCCAGTTGTTTGACTTTTCCTCTTTTCCCTTCTCCATGCAGTCAAAGCCTGGCTGCTCTGAGAAAGCCTGGATGAGGGGAGAGCTGTTCTGGCCAGTTTCTGGCAGGTGGTGTCACCCAGACTTCTGTCTGCATTGAAGCTTGGCTGATTTTGCCCAGTTTCTTCCAGTCACCCTCTCACTGCTCCCAGCATCCTCCTGCTGAGAGGATGTCTCCTGTCTCCTGCTCCCAGACAGCTACTGTCCGCTTGCCCCATATTGG